TTTTCTATTTTGTTCATAAAAATGCAAAGAGTAAAATAAAAGCGAAGGGGAAATTTTTCTTTATTTGTAAATTGTTTTAGGGGTTGAATGTCTTAGATGTCTTTAGAACCTCGCCTTTATCATGTGGAACAACAAATACAGCATTTAAGTAAGCAAGTCGGACTTCTCAAGCAGCTTATTACGACGGAGGTAACTGACCTCCGGAAAAACATGGAACAACAAGTGGCGGAGGTGAAGCAAGTGGTGATGTATCAAGATCGCCTCTATCAAGAGAGAATGTCGAAATTGGAAGTTCGCATTCAACAGCTATCCGAATTTTGTTTGCATTTGGCTCGTTCTACCGGGCATGTTTCTCCTTCAGTTGCGCTGATTCCTACTGGTATGATAGCTGCACCAGCTGAAGTTCGAACTCTGGAGCAATTTACCGCTTCCGAAACCATAAATAGAAGGACGCCTGACGGCGATGAAAATGAAGAAGAGAATCAGAATGAGGAGATGAAAGATGTTAATGGAATATTAGAAACATATCAGGATCGTATCAATACAATATACGACTTTTACACGGTGTCAACAATTGATATTTTTCACCCTACGATGACGCTATCTCATTTTTCGCGTATGGTAAAAGATTGTCAGTTGTGCGGGCTTTCTCAGGGAACCTCTGCCGAGTTGCTCTGGATGGCGGTGATGCGCTCATTGAACAAAAAGCAGCACAAGCAGTTGGATAACGTCCAAAACCGCGGCATAACTTTGGGAAATCAGGTTTCTACTGAGCAAAGGAAAAAGCTTTTTGCCTTTCAGCGCCTTGAGGCAATTCCAAAGGAATGGTTTGGAGAAGCTCTGTATATTCTTGCAATGGAGAAGCGTCGTTTACGACTGCTTTCGGATGGTAGTACGGTTATTGATACGGTAAGCCCTTTAGATGAAAAACCGAAAGATATATTTCTTTCATTTTTGTTGTATCACATATTTCCATATGTTGATGCAGCCATAGAGGAAAAGCAACGTTCACAAGGTTCAGTTTTTCACCTTGGCTTAGGAATAAATGGTGAAGATAATAGTGGGTCTTTTTCTATGGTAAGCAATTTGATTCAGTCATACAAAACGGATGCTGTTGCGTCTGTTGTAAAGGAATTTATTGGGCGGATCAAAGAAAGTTATAACAGCGCCATTAGGACTGCACAGGGATACCACAGCACCATGATGAACTTGGATGGCTTTGTTGAAGTTGCCCGTCGGCATTTATTGCTTCCGCTCATTCATAAGCCAGATTTGCGGCACATTTTTCTTTACTGTTGTGCTGTGGAAAAGGAAAAGCACCCAGAGACGGAGGAAGGAAATATTTCTGTGGGTACGTTTCTCCTTGCTTTATATCAGTTGGCAGATCGGATCTATGGTGATTCTCTTATGGGAAAAAAATTTACTACTCCCGAAGCACGAATGAAAAGGCTTTTAGCCAAAATGTTTTTTCTGAGTTGACAAGTCAATATATATATATGTCTATTGCCTCCGGAAATTCCTGCGTTTGTTTGTTGTTCTTGTTGTTGTTGTTGCAGTTTGTCTGTTTGTATTTCAGTGACATTTGAACGTGGTGTTTTTTTTTTTTTTTTTTTTTTTTGCTTTTATTAAATTTAATTTTGGGAATATCCGAACTACGTGGGAAAAGGAAAGGAGGCACAAGGTGCTCCAAAGTCAAATGGAGGGAGAAAGGACAATGAAAAAAAACAAGAAAGGGAGTGCGAGGGGCGACTGTGATGGAATGATATCTGTAGGTGCAAAGCGGTTGTTGGTTTCAGTGCAAGATAAGAATCGTCGTCAAAAGCATGGCGAATTCTTTGATGAGCTTCTTTTAGTGACCCAAAAGGCGAAGCGAAGTCCTCAGGTTATTAATATTCCTGGAAAGAATGAGGTTCCAGTGCTGGCAGTTGGATACATCGCCCGTGCTATGGGCCTTAATTTATCCAATGTTGAGGTCTCATGTTTGGTGGAGATGGTGGAGGAAAAAGATTTAGCTTCTCGAGGTTTTGTACCTGCAGACGCACTAAAAGAAGTAATAGTCGAGGCCCTCATGACGGGTATAATGGCTCCCCCAAAGGCGCCGGTGAAAGCTACACCCTCTCGAAAGAAAACCGCTTCTACTCTTCCCCCTGCAACTATAAAGCCGATTTCTGTCGTTCGTGATGGAGAAGAGGCAATATACGAGGCTTTTTGTGTGTTAGATTTGAGTAGGCGTGGTTACTTGGAGGCTGAGGAAATGCGGCATTTTTTGCGTATTGGAGGCGAACCATTTACAGAAGAGGAGGTGGAAGAGTTCATAACAGCCGCTGCTGACCCTGAAAATGGCCGTATATACTATGAGGAATTTGCCGATGTACTTGCAAGAGAGTAGACTCATGTAAAGGCAAAAGGGCGGAAGCCGTGTTTCTTTCTTCTTTTTTTTTTTTTTTTTTGCTTTTTTTCTGGTGTGTCTTTTGTCCTCTTCTTTTTTTCCCTTGTTTAATTTCTTAAATCAGTTTCTCAGGGAGCTGGAGAGAGCGATGTGACGTTGGCAGACAGCTGCCCCGCCACCTCTCTTTTTCTCAGTTGGGCTTGGCAAGCGAGAACCTAGCCCTTTGAACCGTACTGTACTGTAATGAATACTTTTTTATTTTATCTCATCGATGCTGCTTCTTCTCCTTGTCTTTGTATTTATGTGTGTTTTTACCACCATCACTCCGGTAGCTTTCAGTGAAGTTTACTTATTAGCGAGGTCATTTGTTTATTTGTGAGCGGCATAGAAAACTAAGAAGCAAAAAAAAAAAAAAAAAAAAAAGAAAGGAGACGCTAAAAGAATACACGAAGCAGAAAAGATAATTGTGTTGGAGACTATGATGCGACGCGTTCTTCGTGCCAAGGTCCTACATTTGCCAGGGGTGTCACGTCGTGCTGCGAGCTCTTTCATGGCTGGTGGCAGCAATGAAGGGTCGCGTCGTCAAAATCGGGAGCGCACGCTGGAGACAAAATCATCCGCATTTCATGTTGGTAGTCGCGTGGCGAAGAGCGAGATGCATCGGACACCATCGAGTAATGTTACCCGAAAGAACCATTTGAGGGCGGAGGAGAAGACAGGGGTGCTTTTCCCGGACGCCCAGACGCACGAATTGGATGAGATGGAGGTTGCGGATGAAAAAGAAACTCCCTTAATGGAGAACATACGGCAACAGAAACGGCAAGAGTATGATGATGATGGTGATGACGATGGCGAAGAAGAAGTACGGGCACCTCCAAACCTCAAAAGAAGATATGACTGTTACATTCGACCAAAACGAGAGACCGTTGTTCTCACAAGCTCCTTTGCCAATCGTGTTTCAGCGGGGGCGGACATGGATGAGGATGATGAAATGGAGGATGACGTGACCAAGATCTACATGAGTCCGGCACTCTCCAAGGGATGTTGCGGTGAGGGTAAGGTGACCGGCGCGCGTGTTACTGAGGCTGATGAACGTGATGTACTCAGGACGGTTGAGACGCATGACGGGAACGCGATAGATGGCATGGAAGCTAGACAGGATAATGGGGACGAAGTGGAAGAAGAGGCAACCGAAAACAGCGAGGAGAAAGATGAATTTAAAAATGTGAAGAATCATTCGTTTTATGCAGATCTTTTTCGACGCATGGAGAAGAACGCCACACGTCACCGACCGCAAATAAAATCAGCTGGTCGTTATAACTTGGAGGCTGTAAATCTGTGCCTTCGGCCTCTGCTTCAACTCACAGATTACCCGCTTACCATTGGTCAACTGCAGCAAATGGCACCGTTCATTTACTCGAACCTTTTGAGGCGTTCTCTCCCTGACCTGAAGGCATGTCGACGTCTTCACATTTATCGCTCTGCCGAAACAGATGTCATACTGGATTGGTCAGTGGAGGATTTTCTTCGTCGACGCTATGAAAGTATTCACCTCTCATGGGAGCCGGTAAAAATTGTCATGATGCGCTTTGGCTGGAACCAGGAGCTGATGACAGATCGCGACTGCCTTTTGTACTTTTCAAAATTTCGGGAGCACATCGAGCTGGCGGAACTGGAGCTGAGCGCGGGGGATGACAAACCAAAGGCTCTACCAATTGACGACGCCGAGCGAACGGCAGAACAGCGGCCTATCCCAGTTTCTAAACTTCTCATACGTCGCAAGGCGACGGAGGAAACGGAGCCATCCGTGACGGAGGCGATTCGGCTTATGGGAACACCTGCATTGTCAAAGCCTGCCAAATCACGAAAGGCCCACGTGCCTGAAAAAGACAGCGTGGAAGGGGCATTTGAACTTATCCAGCGCGAGGCGTCAAGTGTGGATGGTGATGAGAAGACGAAGCTGCAACACGCTATTAACGCTGCACCTTCCTTGCGTCAGGCCAGTCATCCCTCTGGTCGCTGCGTAAAGGAGTTTTCACTTGGAAAGGAAAAGCATACCGTGATTTCTGAGGGGTCTCCGGCTGCCCCTGCGAGAATTGAAAGTCATCCGTTTGATGAAGGCCGTCGTGCATACACTCCCGAATCCTACGAGGCTCTTGCTAACGCATACCACAAGAGAAAGGTGGAGGCATCACAGATACGTCGTCGACTGTTGAACACAGACAGCATTGATCACGCCAGTGAGCTACAGGAGAAGCTTGCCGCGGCTCAGAGGGATCTTCCACGTTTGCGCGAGCAACTTGAAAAGATGCGGCAGCTGCGACGCTCAGAGAAGACGGATTCTCCGGGGAGATCACACAATTCTTTTACCAACTCGGAGAAACATACCAATGAGAATGGGCCGTCAGATGAATTTGAAAACATGGCGTATGTGGACGATAAGATTTCAAGGGAGATGCAAAAAGGACAAAATGCTTCCATGACGTCACGCACTTTTACAGAATTGAACTCTGTGAAGCAGCAGCAGCGGCAGCGCCAACAAGAAAAGGGACAAACTGAAAAAAACGTTGATGCCGCCGAAGATAAAATGAAGAATGAACCTGTGGATAATGCAGAGGGATGCGAAGCTGAGAAGAATAGTTTAGGAAATCGCGGCAACGCTTCACCTTCAGGGGAGATCGAATCACTGTCTTCGGCGGCGTTAATGTTAAGGCAGGAGATTGAGTCCTTGCAGGAAAAACGTCGTCATGAAGAGGAGGTCCTTCTAAAGAAGATGGAAGAAGCACTTGGCACACTGCTCAAGATTGAAGATACGATGAAACGTGTTTCACAGCGCGAGGCAAAGGAGATTGAGCGAAAGAAATTGGAGATGCAGAAAAAAGAGGAAGCAGAAAAACGCATGAGGCGAGAGCAGGCAGAAGCACGGGCCCGTGCTTTGGAAGAGGAGCTGCTGCGCAAACATGAAGAACGGGTAAAGATTCTCAGCCAACAGCGTGAGGAGGCTCGTAAGGCGCAGCGGGAGGCAGAGCTTGCGCTGGAGCGGCAAAAGCAGGCAGAGCAAGCCGCATTTGAGGCAGAGGCAGAACTGGAGCGAAAACTACAGGAGGCTAAGTCAAAAATATGGAATGAAGAAGAGGATGAGGAGCTGACATTTGGTGGTTCACGAACGCCGCAAACAAAGGCCACAGAGCCACCAACCATTCATGCAGAACGGTCAACGGAGTGTGAAGCGTCAAGCAAACCGGTACAATCCGACACCAGTAACCATAATGCCAACGTCTCCAGTGAGCCATCATGCACACCGGAGCAGTACGATGGTCTTTGCCTTGGTGCAGAACGGCTGCGAAAAGAAATTACGGAGCTTGAACGTCAGATGGAAAATGAGGGGGATGAAGATGACATGACGCTGATGGCTGTTTTGGCAACATCGCGGTCGGATCTGGAGGAACTGGAGGATTTTATCCGCGTTGTGCGTCGCAGAGAAGCTTGGGCTGCAGAGCGTGACCAGGCACGAAAGGAGGAAATGGAACGTCAGGACAGGGAACGAGGGAAGCACCCAAATGATTTACAAGAGAAGATTGCTGCCATTCGCTTTCAGATTCATCTCATGGAAAAAAGACTGCAGCATGCGACTGAACGAAACATCATCACTAAACTTGAGCAGGGGATCATTAACAGCAGACGCGAGATAAGCCGGCTGCGAGTTGAGCAGGATCGACTGCGGCGATCTGGACATCACGCGGATGCTGGTGGCATTTGCATTCCATCTTCCATAAGTATTGCAGAGACGTTGGCGCAGGAAGAAGCCAAGAATGCGGAGGTGATTTCGGAAGAATCTGAGCATGTTGCGGAAGAGGTCAATGCTGCCCATACAAAAGGCACGGGCGACGCGTATGAAAATAGCGCGGTGAATGTGGAAGACGAGGATGAGGATGATCAGCTCGAGTCTGTTAATGATACCGACGATGCCGTTACAGGAGAGGAATACGATGAAAACGAATACGCCGCAGATAACTCTCTCAACGGTCAAGTTAAGACACTGGAAGATGGCCAGAAAGAGTTACAGCGGTTAACAGGACGGATGGAGAGCATATTGGATGACATCAAGCACCTTGAAGAAAATATTGCTTTGCAGGAGGGCGCAGAGGATGCCGAGGTGACTGCCGCATCACTTTCCGAGCTGCAAAAGAAGCTCCAGCAACTCCTGGAAATGCGTGACGCCATTAAGATTCGGACGGAGCAACTGGCTTTGGAGGACTCTGCACCCAAAAGCATTTCCGTTTCGCGAGCTCCTGCGGCCACAGAAACGGAAGCCGCAAACAAATTGAAAAAGACGACGACGATGACCGCAGCTTCCAGACGGCCCAAAGTTCTTGCACCGTTGTCCAACCGGCCTGTGTCGAGCCACGCCAGCCGTGCCGAGGAAGAGGTGCTTCGTTTCGAGCACCACACCAGGGAGAGCTACCAGCACGCCTCCCAGCGTGGAACGCCAGCTGCGCGTAAGATGCGAAAGGTTGCCAAAGGGAAGAAGGCCCGACGATAGGGCCAACAAGTATGGTAAATGACTGAACAAGCGATAGATACGTATGCACATATACACGGTTTATTCAAAATACACCCAGATGATTGGAAGAGCACACGCACATAGAAAAATAAATAAATAAAATTACCCCAAGAAATTGTGGAGAATGAAGCTTTAAAGGCATATAAATACAAAAGTTTATAAATATGTGCACGCATAGAGGAAAGAAATAGCTTTCCGTTTTTTTTTTTTTTTTTTTTTTTTTGCGTGTGGGCGTGGGTGTTTGTCCGATGATGGTTGTGCAATTCACAAGCAGGCATTACTGCAGTCAAAAAGACGGACGGAATGCCAAGTTGATCATAAATTGCATTACAGACATACATGCATGCATAGAAGATATAAATGAATCAGGGAGAGGGAGGTGAGGTTCAAGGTCAACAAGAAAATAATTTTGCTGCATAGAAGGAAAACAAAATAAATAATAATAAAAATGAGAAGAACAGTCGCCCGAACCCCATTACCCCTAAGTATCGCTTGTTTGGGCATTGTTTTTGTCATTGGTTTATTAGTTGTTGGTTTTTTATTGTTGTTATTTTTGCGGCAATTGGAAAACGGAATGGATCCAACACTCCCTGGATCCTTTATTCCAGATGTTTCTTTTTTCTTAATTGCTGCTTGCTGGGGTATGCGCGTGTTCTCCCCATGTTTTTCTTGTTGTTTTTTTTTTTTTTTTTATATTTTAATGTGACATGTGTGCAAATGCACATACATCTATGGAGTTTTGAGGGAATATGGTTGGCCTTAACAGTGTGATGAGGATTCGCAATTATTTTGTCCCCATTCTTTTCTTTCTTTTTTTTTTTTTTTTAATTATTACGAGGAAAATAAGAGAGACGAAGGGCAGGAATTAACTGGACATATATCTCATTTTTCACATTAGCACACAATGTTTCATTTAAGTGTCATTCAGCGCAAAAATCCTGTTATCTTCAAGCAGGGGCAGGGTATGTTCTCACACCAACTGAAACGTCTGCTGCAGAAGAAGGCGATTCACCGATACAACTGGGATCCTCTTCCAATGTACGACCCACGCAAACTAGTGCACGCGAATCGCCGTGTTGACCCGGAGACATGGCAGGAGGTGTACGATCCACACTGGGATGAGCGTGCGCACCTGGTGCCAGATCAGGTGTATTATCACATCCCTGTTCCACCCGAGTACAAGGACGCCTATTGGTGGAGAGATCTTCAGGCACGCCGCGTGCAGTGTCCCGTGGAGTGGGTGAGTCATCGGATGTACAACAAGGGCGATCGGCAGCGCTACGATTTCCAGGACTTGTCGTTTCGGAAAAAGTTTGAGTATTCCTACGAGGAGGTAGTAAAGAATGCGAAGGATATGCGGAGCTGAGAAGGCCCCAAATAATACAAAAAAAGAGAACTGAATGGGGTTACAGCTTGTGTTTCTCCTTTTTTTCTCTCTCCTTCCTTCTCTGTGTGTGTCTGTTCTTTTTTTTTTTTTTTTTTTCTTATTTCTCTTATTCTTATTTCCTTTGCTTTAATTACGATGTGGGCGCTGCTCCTCCGCAGGGTGGAGAGAGCCGTCACGACAACGAGCAAAAAAAAAAAAAAAGGCCGGAAGGAAGAAACGCCAATGATCCCTAGTGTGAACTTGGACAGTGCAATTACGAGGCTGAAGGAAAAGAAAGTGCCGGAAAGCCGAGTAGGGGATGGGGTGCCGGGCTGTTTTTCTCCGCGGCCCACCCACACACGGAGTTGCAGCGTGACAGGCGTCCCACAGGAATTGGACAGAAATGTCACTGAGTTACATGGGCAGGTTGTAGACACCGCGGAGACCCAACCCGAATGGAAACCTGAGAGGTTTTCTTCACCCAACGTCGACAAGAGTTGTTCTGTGCTTAAGAAACAAGGCCTCGTGCCGGATGACTTTTATCGCACCACAGCATCACCCTCCATGTTGTCTGCGTTTGCAAATTCGGAGGGCCATGAACACCATCCCTGTCATTCCTTGCCTAAGGCAACTTTGATTGCTCATCAGAAAGCGCGAAGCTCTTCTGCTACTCTTCGACATGTGTATGCCACAGCAATTTTTGACGACGAGGGCACCGGAAGAACGAGTTCTACAGGATCTTCCGGAGCCACAGATGTCGCGTCTACTTCTGAGAAGTTTGCGCTGCGTGAAATATATGTATCGGGAAAGCCATGGCAACGTGTTGCGGATGCTTACCCCAAATACTTCCGACGTGCCGCTTTGAACATATCAGCTCTTGTGACAAGCAGCTCTGGGGAACATGTTGCCATAGGTGACTGTTCTGGTCGCGTTTTGTTGATGCGTCGCACAAATCAGCAAAAACAACAACAATTAGAAGACGACAAAAGAGCCTCTGACGAGGGAAAGAGAGGTAGGCTTCAGTATACAAATAAAAATAATTTACACATACAAGGATCTTATGAGTTTTCCGTGGGGCGTAAGGCATACACCTCCGTCATAGACCCACTGAACAGTGTGGAGGTGACTCCATGCATTCAAGCTCTTTGCTTTTTACCCCAAGTTGGTCCAACCACGTACCTGCTCATGGCGAACGAGAAAATGCCAAAGCTGTTCAAGGTGGTTGAGGTGCGAGAGTCTCCTTTGCCTTTTTCGGCAGTGAATCACATTGGAGAGAAGAATGTTGCCTCACTGACGTTGAACCCACTCGATGTTAGGAGGACGACTGCAATGAAGCAAGTGACTCGTTACGCCCTGAATCATGAGTACAACATCAATTCGCTATGTCCACTGGTGGATAGTGCGCAGTTTTACTCCGCTGATGACCTCACGGTGAAGTTGTGGTGCATTGAACACCCGGACACATCTATAGAAACGTATAGTATAAAACCCCCCTTTGAGGAGGAGGTTCAAGAGACGATATTTGGTATTCGTTGTTTTCCTCACGAGCCGTTTCTACTTTTTATTGCAACAACTGCCGGGACCGTTCGTGTGCTTGACATTCGCCAAAGACTCAAATTATTTCATCAAACGCCATTGGTGTTTAAGAATACATATTGTGATGAGGACACATCTTTTAGCAGCCCACTCACTGACTGTGCGCTTAGTCCCTGTGGGAGGTTTGTGGTTGGACGTGATGTCATGAGTGTTTGTCTATGGGACGTCCGTCGCGATTCCCACTACGGCCGATTTGCGAAATCGGTAAATTCACCACTCCATGAAGAAGAAGAGCAGGATGTTTTGCAGCGATGGGAATTGTACCCACATCTTCGTCGTGACATGGAACAGCTCCTTCAAGGGGATATCATTGAAAAGTTTAGTGTACAATTTTTGAACGGCCGTGAGGTGTGCACCGGTGGTTTTGCCAAAACGTTGTATGTTCTCGATATTCTGAAGGATTCTGCTGCTCCTAGCGACAAAAGGAGGCGTACGCCTCGGTGTAGTAATGGACAGGCATTTCAGTTACCGCAGTTAGATGGGGCAAATGCAGACGCACTTTTTGCTTCTCTGCGCCCGATTGCGATGGACGACGTGCGGTTTTCAGCCAACGAAGACACGGATGCGCTTTTCAGTAACACTGTGACTCAGTTTTCACAGCCTTTGACATCAATGAATGGAGATTGTTCTCTTCTGACGTCCTCTGGCCAGGCCATTTTTCAGCTAGCATATAGAAACGTTTATCTTTAAACGCCTTTGATAGCAAAACAAGCAACACATTTACCATATATATATATAAATATCTCACAGATGTGTTACAATTGTGGCGCTTCTGCACATTCGGACCGTTAGAAGATAACACCTTGTGTTAACCGCGTTCTCTTTTTGTTGTTGTTGTTGTTGTTGTTGTTGTTGTGTCTCTGTGTCTTTTGTGACGTGTGTGGGTGGCGGCCTGGATGGTGTTGTAGCGACAACAAATGAACAAAAACAACAACCAATTCTTTTCCCCCTTTATTTATTTATTTATTTATTTATTTATTTTTTTCTATTCCCAAAGAATCAAACATCAAAAGAAGAAAAAGAAAAGAGGACTTCTTATATTCGAAACACTGCACTTAACTCTTTTATATGAACACTGGAACTCGTCGGACATCGTCACGTCGGCGCTCAGGCACCCCAAAACGCGACACTGAGACGGCTAGGGAAAAAATATCTGCCGAGGAGTCGTACAATCTTGTGGTAGAAAGGAAATTTACTCCCGAAAAGGACAAGTGGGATGGTCACTATGAATTCTGTGGTCCCTGGGGCGCCCTTGGTATTATGTTACTGTCGCATGTGCTGATATTTTACTTTTTCGTATGCATAGAGAAATTTCAAGGCACAATGATATACCCAGGTCATCCACTACTGCAAGGGGAGAACATGTTGAACGTGTTTTGGGAGTATCTGCGTGTACATGCGACACCGACATGGGAGACGTTTGGCGTCTTTACAGGATTTTTTCTTCTAGAATACGTATTGGCTGCACTGCTTCCCGGTGTGTATGTCAAAGGACTTCCCATTCCAAGTGAAAATGGTTACCGCTATGTCTACAGGTGCAATGCCGTTCATGCATGGTATTGTGTCATTCTGTTTGTGGGGGCATTACATTTTACTGAATTGTTTCCTCTCTGGAAGTTGCGTGAGGAGTATGGCCGTTATTTGACCACTGCTACTATATGGGCTGATGTCATATCGATTTGGGTGTATATTTCTGGTCTTCGCAAACAAATTCGCATGTCTCATAATGTTTTTTATGACTTTTTTATGGGATCGGGTCTCAACTTTCGTCTCCCCGGTAATGTGGACGTGAAGTTGTTTGCAGAATGCCGGAATTCATGGGTTTTGTTGATGATTGTTACTCTAAGCAATGCCGCTGCGATGTATCGAGAGATTGGCTACGTTACAGGCAACATGTGTTTTCTTGTTTTTGCACAGCTTTTGTATGTGAATGCGATTCAGAAGGGTGAGGAATGTATTATCACTACTTGGGACATATTTTACGAAAAATTTGGATGGATGCTGGCTTACTGGAACACGTGTGGGGTGCCATTTTTGTATTCCATACAGGCATTATATATTCAGACAATTCTTAAGGATTATTCCTATAAACCATGGCAATTGGCGCTTATGGTTTCGACTCTCATTCCAGCGTACTATATCTGGGATAACGCCAATTCACAGAAGAATCGTTTCCGCATGATGCGTCACGGCGTCCCCAAGTACATCATCCGACGTAGGGCATTTCCGCAGCTGCCCTGGGGACATATTGAAAACCCCCGTACCCTGAAAAGTGAACGCGGTGAACTTTTTGTGGACGGATGGTATCGCTATGGCCGTAAACTTCATTACACGGCTGATCTGGTTATGGCATTTTTGTGGGGTGCGTCATGCGGATTTGACTCTTTCATCCCATTCTTTTACTTTTTCTTCTTTATCAGTCACCTTTTGGACCGCGAGCGCCGTGATGACCACCGCTGCCGTAGGAAGTATGGTGAGCTGTGGGAACGGTACCTAAAGTTGGTTCCATACAAACTGATCCCGGGAATATATTAAGCTTTACATGATGTTTTTATTTTATTTTTATTACTTTCAGCCCTTCTAACCTTTACTATTATTGTTATTACTATAAATGATGAAAATAAAGGTATGTGCTCTTTTTTTTTTTTTTTAATTACTTTTGTTTGTGATTTTTATTTTTGTTTTACGCCTTGTTTTTTAGTTACTCGCTTTTTTTGTGCGTGTGCGTTCTCTTTTTATTTCACTCCCAGATTTATTTATTTTATTTTATTTTATTTTTTCGTGTGTCTTTATTTGTTTTGGTTTCTAATTCTGCGTATTTATATTTATATTTATATATTTGTGTGTGTGTGTGTGTGTGTCTGATGGTGCACCAACCCTCTTATATGAACTTTGGGCTGCGTTCACGTAACTCCACACTCGTTAATGAATACTTTTGGGTGGTAACGTCAACTTCTTTTATTTGCCTTTTCCGCCGCTCTGACTCCCACGCCCCCAGCGCCTGGGGGCCACATGGAATTTGTGCCCTGTGGTTCCAGCGGGTGTTGGTGTGTTGGGCGTGGGTTGTGCAGGGTTGGCGTGGTGCAAAGTACGGGGGTGAGGGGCGCGTCTGCGAGCAGGAAAGGTCTTTTGAAAGGAGACAAAAAAAAAAAAAAATTGAAAATTTTGACGCTGATGTTTTTAAAGACTTTTTTGTGGCAAAAACGAGCTGAGAGGCGAATGAGGATGAATGATGTTTTTGAGCGAGCATTGACGATGTCGAGTGAATTCTTGCTGCCAAGGAGGGGGAGGGGGGTGGCGGATCAAAAAGTGAAGGGAGCAGAAAAAGCGGAAGAGAATAAATTTTATTTTTTATTTTTTATTTTTTATTTTTTATTTTATTTTTTAAAGGCGGCGTGCGTGTTCCGGATGTTTGAAGGCGATGTGCGAGCAGATGCAGCTCAGTGTATAATATTGCGTCCTGTTCATCTACTCTGCCTTTTTACCCATTAGCTGGTTTTTCGTTTCAACGATACCGCGTTGGAGGGCGGCGAGTGCAGTTCCTGTTTCCCTGTGATTCTACCCACCCCCGCCTTCCTTCGCGTTGAGGGGAGTCCGGCGGCTGCGAGGCTCTTGAAGGACTGTCACTTCTTCCGCTCACAACGAGCCCGGTTATGGTGGCGTATGCTCGTTGATTTCACTTGTTTGTGGGTATATAAGTGCTGGATGAGCCTCAACCGAATTTTGGGGATGTTGGGTGCATTGAGCCAAACTGCAATATCATTTTTTCCTTTTTTTTTGTTTTTTCTTATTTTACGCTTTTTCTTCTAGGAATATTGGACAAGGCCTCATTCGGGTGTATATTCGACCGGATTTTAATACAAAATCAGGCTTTTTTTCTCTGTTTGTGGGTATGAGTTCGTTATGATTTCTCTTCCTCTTTCTCTCTGCGTGTGTGTGTGAGGGAGACGGGGAATATGATGAAACAAACGGTGAATGGGGTTTTGTGTGAAAAAAAAAAAAAAAAGTGAAGAGAAGGAGAGAAGGAAAGAAAATGGATGTGAAAATTAAAACAACAGCAAGGAGGCTGTGTGAGGAAATAAACATATGGTTCACAGACATCCCTGCATGCATGTGTGCTCTTAAATGGGTTGGCTCAGAAGCGGTACCAGTGCGTGAGGAGGGCATGTGCTTCTGTTCCAATTTTTGTTCTGAGGAGAAACGCTTTCTGTGTGTTTGGTGAGCACCCACTCGGGGAGGGAGGACCGGAGAAAAAAAAAAAAAAAACGCAGAGAGAAAAGGAAAGCAATAAAAACGGAATTGGGGCAAAAGTCAAAAAAGAGGGCTCCGTGGTTTACACGACCGCAAATGATCATGAAAAAGAGGGAGGGCACAAGGGCTTGAGCGAGCGAGGCTATGCATGAAATATATATACATATATATATAATAACATGGATTGTTTTTCAACAAAAGCAAACAAATATTGGGTGTTAAAGGAGAAACCCACATGTATGCAAAATCGACAGTGCTGTTGGTCGCATTTTTATCTGTGTGTATGCGTATGCGCGGCCATGAAATTTATGCATGAATGCGTTTCCCATTCTTGGTGCTTGTTATATTTATATTTATTTATATATATATTTATTTATTTTATATTTTTTTAAATAGGACCTTGTGAAGAGAATGATCGCGGGATAGCTGGCTAACTTAAGCAGTGCATATATATCTTGATAAAACGAATACACTTCATTACGATACTTTTCTATCTTATTAATTTTGGAAGGCCACAACTTTAGGGGAGCAGGGAAGCGATAGCGGCAATATAACTTTTTTTTAATTTTTTTGTTTTACCGTCCCACCCGCCCTCTTTTGATTCCCGCCTTTGCGGTGGGGTCTTGTGGCTGGAGGATCCCAACGTCTGCTATTTCGCAAGTAATAAATATTTACATACATACATATATCTAGGTGTGGTCCAAAAAGAAAAAAAAGAAAAAAATGCTGCGGCGTAGCGCTTTGGTGGCGGACAGTTTCAAGGAACACTACCACCGTGTCCATCTCCCGAGACGGTTAGCGTTGCAGCGGTACATCCGCCAACAGACACTCCGAAAGCAGGCAAAGACGGAGCCGGAGGTGCCGTACAAATACAACCGCTGGTGGGTAAATGCAGATCATGAATTTGTGCACCAGCACGCCTTTGTCGAGGACCCGGAGGTGACAAGGGCCAAGCGTGAACTGCTGCCACCCGTGACGAAGGAGAACATTTGGAAAGACCCTCAAAAAACATTCTTCATGCCGTTTGCGCCGTACATTCGTGTCGTAGACTACCCGAAGGATCCGGATTCGAAGTTTATGAAACCGGTGAATGTTCCTCGCTGGAAAGACTACATGCAACGTACAAAACCTGTCGTGCCGCGGACGTGGTACTAACGAAGGGCGGCCCACCAAGAAAAAAAAAAAAAAAGGGAATGAAGAGATCTGCGAGGGAAAAAACATGCACCTTTTTAAAAAATTTAATGGGCTTTTGAAGAGGATGTTCACGGGGCAAGCGGGCTATATAATGTAACATATCCTGATACGACGAGGGAATTTCTTTACTATTGCTTTTCTATTATATAACTCTTTCGTTAACCGCGATGGAAGGAGTCAGGGAGCCGATAAAGCTTAGATGATTTTAAACTATTTTATTTTTATTTTTACGGCCACAGGAGGTC